TATGTATATAGTTAAGTACCTGTTTCAAGTGTCCGATCTATGTTATACTGTGGACCGTTATTATTATTTTATATAATTTTCATATTCTTTATTTATGACATATCTAATATCATGTAAATGATCGAAAACACGAATAAAGTTATTATTATTATCATTATTAAAACTGTTCCAACACCCATCTCTAAAGAAATGAACTTTTAATGTTCAAGCCCGTCTCCGATTTACCTACACAGTAGGTTGAATGGACTGACGCCTATCAGAAAACAAGTACTCCCCTGGAGTAGTTGTTTTCGTTGGATTATATCCGACAAGCGTCAGTGCAGGAATTTCCACAGAAAATTTCCTGCATATGCAATTGGCAATACAACTGAAAGAGTCGACCTTCAATTTTGGAACATGCACACTTCTAGACCGGTTTCGGGCTCCTTAGCCACTCGTCAGTGCAAGATAGTGACCGTCATCGATGGAATATGCAGTTGGTTAGTACGTCGTCCACTAGATGGAGTGATATTTTTGATGTTCGCTCCAACTCAAGACGAGGAATGAAATACTCTGAAAGGATTTCGATTTTCAATTCGCTCGACGCTAATAACAATAGCCGCCGGTTAATTTTTGGGGGCCCCAATGCACCTAAAGGCTGACGTTCGACCAAAAGTGGTCAGATATCAAACTTCCTGAAGTGCCCATCAGTAAGTTAAGGATCTCTCGGAGAGCAGGGGTGGATGGAGTGGAGTAGTAGGTTCTCCTCGCTAAATAGCTGAGGGGGGAAGCTTCTACTTTAGGGCACTCAACCCGGTAGAGGGCATGGGGGGATGATTTTCAATTATGGAATATCATTGACTTTAGGTCGATGATGGTACTATCTTGCACTGACGAGTGGCTAAGGAGCCCGAAACCGGTTTGCAAGTGTGCACGTTCCAAAATTGAAGGTGGACTCTTTCAGTTGTATTGCCAATTGTATATGAAAAATTGTACATGGAAATTTTCTGCGAAGATTCCTGCACTGACGCCTGTTGGATATAATCCAACGCTGTTCGTGATATTAGCCAGGGGAGTAGTTGTTTTTGATAGGCGTTAGTCTATTCAACCTACCGTGTAGGTATATCCAAGACTGGCTTGAACGTTTAAAGTTCATTTCTTCAGATTAGTACGAGTAACACTCGTCGCTGGTTTTTTTCTTATTTTTTTCACGACTTAATATTGTTTACAGTGACTGTTTTCCTTATTTGTGTTGTTGAATCAAAAGTGAAATAATGTGAACCGTGGAACCATGATTTACAAAAGCAAACAGCGGTAATGTGTCTAAACTATATCCATCCAACAAACAAAGTAACCCAAGTACTGATACGGCTTAATAAACTGCAAATTTGTGTTGCTATACTTCACCTAAAAAAATTCCTATACCCAGCCGCACATTATTAAAAAATACAAAATTTCGGTCGTTCCTGAGTGCGACTCTGTACAAGCAGCCTTGTGTGGGAGATCACGTCCACTATGCATGATAGTGTTTTGGAGCACTATGTTGCTTAGATGGACAGAGTATAGAATCGACAGCTTGATGCTGGGAGAGTTTCTGGCATCGAACAAAGACTTTTGTTCGGCAGAATTGAGAAATGTTGAAACTTCTATATAAGTACAACAATAATCTTTCAAAACATATAATGAAAATGAGTCCAAAGCGTTTGAAAGATACTTTTAGTTTAATATTAGAGGATATGCTATTGAAATGAAGTTTTCAAAACGACGTACATAACACACGCTTACACATTGATCTAGTTATTTTAGGTCCTTTGGGGCATCTTACGGCAATGGTGCAAATATGTTATGTACGCGAAGTAAAACGGTGCACACTAAAAGGTAACTTAACAAGAGTGAAAAATACGAAAGATAAAACCTAACCTCAAAAAAGTTTGTCGATTATTGAATTTAATCTTAGACCAAGATGATACTAGTTCATCATCTACAAATTTGATACATACGTTTTTACTTAAAAAGCTGAGTACTAAGCAATATTCCCGTTGAATCTCGTTTTGCAAATTTGAGTAAAGTATTTCGTTTTCTTTGTATGTGACGAACACAAATAACTTGTTCGAAGTTTATATTGATGTATTAGTACATTGATGGACTGCACACCACCGATACACTTTTGAATTTATATTTAATAACAGTTATCATCAAATTTATAGACGAGCCTCTAGTGTTTACATGTAGTGTACTCGAACGTGACGTCACAAGCGACGTCATGATACTTTGAAGTGTCTTGGTGCGAATTTTCAACTCAATTTCTGGCGAAAATATGATGATTCAATTTATAGCCAGTCTTCTAGTATGCCCACCGACTATGTGTGAAATGGTTTTTTTTTCTTATACGAGGAACTGAGCAAATTTCGGATATGCGGTTGGTTACCTCGTTTACAGGCAGATGAGGCGATGACAAACCTGTTTGTTGTTCGGGGAATGATCCTCTGATGGAATTCAATTTTCAATTACCGGAAATCATCGACTTTATGTTGATGATAGATACTACCTTGCACTGACGAGTGGGCTAACAGCCCGAAACTGTTCTGCAAGTGTGCCCGTTCCAGAATTGAAGGTTGACTCTTTCAGTTGTATTGCCAATTGCATATGCAGGAAATTTTCTGTGAAGATTCCTGCACTGACGCCTGTCGGATATAATCCAACGCCATTCATGGTGTTAGCCAGTGGAGTAGTTGTTTTTTGATAGGCGTCAGTCCATTCGACCCACCGTGTAGGTATATCCCAGACAGGCTTGAACATTCAAAGTTAATTTCTTCAGATATGTTTACTGCCTGTTTTCAAGCCCACTGACTAATAGAAAAGGTCATCTCGTTGTGATGATCACATGTACACTAACTTTCAGATGATGACTTCATGAACTTGCCTAAGCATAGAAACTTTGATATGAAAATTATTCATGCATGCATCATTCCACAATTTTGGAATTTTTCAAACATCTTCTTTCATTTGGTGTTGAAAATATGTGTTTTTCCCATCATTTTTAATTTTTTCCATCTCTGATTTGATTTTTTGTACAGTTCACACGCAAACCCCTTTGGCTTCAGCTACTCGTTCTTGTACCTTCAGAGTCAAAATACAATATTGGTCACAATTTCACTCATTATCACTATAACTTCATACCTTCGCGAGAAAAATTTTTATTTCATCTGCTGTTGTTTCCGCTGGCATAAATCTCAATACGTTGTTCAGAATTTTTCCCTTTTGTCCACCGAGAACTTCGTTCACTACTCAAATGCATTCTCAAAGACGATAAATAACTCACAATTCAAAACGACGACACTACGCGAGTTCCTCGATGTGAATGAGCTCTTGCTCTACTCTACCGGCTGACCTACTGCGCATCCTATATTCAGAAAACAGATTTACTCTTCAAGCTGTACGTTTAGATCTATTCCTGTCTGTAAACTCTTTTTTATGACGGGTTCATTTCGTGTAAGCTACGAATTATCAACCTAATACCCGTGGGTTGGGCTAACTATCGAGTGCGTCCCCAGGTGGTGGATAGGAGAACGGCCAGGGGACTGGAGGCCCTGCCCGGGAAGCCAATGTGGTGTTACGGTCGGGGTCGCCGGTCAGTGGCAGAAATAAGTGAGGCAAGGGGAACTAAACTTCCCAAAAGCCTTTGCGAAACATGGCCGCAGGGTGATATGCGATCACGAACGATCCCCTTGGGGAACCTCATTGTAATCAACCTACCTCTGCTAGAGGTGATCAGTTCTTCCCTTGCTGCTCACGGGAACTCACATGAATAAAACAAACACAAAAACAGAAACAACCAAAACCAATCCCGAGGTTGGACAGAAGTGCTCACCTCAATCTAAGGTGGATGAACAGAAATTTCCATCCCAATCTACCGCTTGAAATGAGGCTGGACATAGCAGATCACTTCGTGATGTAATACAAAGACCAAAGCGTAAGCGCATTTGCAGCGCCGAAGCCAAAAGGAGAAATAGAGCAGCAAGTATAAGTGCACCCTCCTCCTCCCCCACTCCACCTCCAACAGTAAAGGCACTTCCTGCGGTGGGCACCAAGAACTCCACTTTGAATATAGGCAAGGAACCGGCTGCCCCTGCAGGAAAGCTCCCTCACTTGTGCACCCCCACAGAGGGAACTCTACAGATATAGAGATACACCCCTAATGAACTCTATTGAGAGTGCAATTATCTGTCTCGTCTCGTGAAAAAACTCTCACCTTTGGATTCTTCAGGAAGCCCAACTGGCACGTTTTATCTATCTCTTCGAATTTGTTGGCGTTTTTCGATCGAACCGTCGATATTACTATTACGAGCCGCTCCTTTCCTTGAAACTGTTCGACTGATCCCACAAGCAGACTGTTCCATTTTTTTATGCTGCAGGCATTTCGTAATTTTTCAGCCTAAAAGAAGAAATTCAGAATCAGCAAATAACAAAAATTGATAGACCAAAGAAGAAGATATTGAATCAGAAAAGTGTATTTTACTGTCTCACCAAATGTCTTGGTATATCATTTTATCAAACTTCAATTCCATCATAAAATACTAACTTCTCTGCAAATATTTTTTATATTTTATGTAACACTAAAAAATTTGCACCTCTTCGAAAACTTTTATAGAAAATATTCCTCAAAAAAGTGTATTATTCGTAGAGACATTTCAAATGTCTTCATTTTTTCATGAACATTTAGATCGCATATTAGGATTCATTTTATAATTGTCATTTTTTTTTTGGGCGAAGTGGATACAAAATGAACAAAACCTAATAGCGAGTACCGACATATGTCAGTCATGTCATGCCAGTCGGTCGGTAGCTAGGCGGTTCGACGTGGGTGCTTTGTCCACTCACTCGAATTGACTGCCGTGTTGGTCGGTGGTTCAAGCCCTAGTGTGAACGATCGATTTTCACTTGCTATCGTCCAACCCGTGTTAGGAATCACACGTTAAAAGGTAAGACCTCGTTAATCCTTAGTTCGCACAAGTTTCTACTTCTGAGGGTTGTCGTTCGTAAGGGTGCGACAGCTGGTTATCGGAAAAAAATATTTTGAACAGATTTTTTAAACAGATGTTGAACAAACTGTATTTTTTGATGTCTGAAATATCTTCAATACTTACATTTTTGATATTCGATTGACAATAAACGCTTGAAAGTATGATAATGAATGAAAAAGAATGAAAGGTACAGAAATGAAAATATTCTTATACAAACAAGGAGGAATGTAGATATAGTAGGATACTTCCGTTCCTATCGTCTCGAAATAAATAAGGACCCGTTAAATTCCACGTCAACTCAGTACCTGTTTTTTGCATTGAATAGAGAAACGTTATTTTCAATTGGTTGCCATTTTCTGCGAAAGAATAGTTCATTACAAGAAAATTTAGTTTCACCTGATGACAGTATACGAGGTGAATGTTCGAATTTCGCGGGCTCCATACGTTCGATTAGCCACTTTTTAATTTATTATGTTGGTACAATCGTTTCCAACATATGATCACAATATAGCTGTTGAGAATCCACACGCTACAAAGCGTACGGAAGCAAAGTTCGTTCCACTTTTGTTAAATTTTGACAAAAAAATAACTAGTCATAACTAATGACGAATCATGGATATATAAGTGAAAACCGACTCGCTGAAAGAGTTAAAGGACATACCAAAAAGGGTGTATGAGAACTGTTCCATGGATTGAAAAAAACGCTGAAGGGGACAAAATAGAAATTGAAGGTTTTTTTTGAGAAATTCACCTTATTTTTTTGACTGACCTCGTATATCTTTGCGAATCTATGCACAACATTCAAATGTTTGTCATAATTTTCCTTTGATGAAGAAGAAAGTCACTTTTTTGAAGTTAAAGTTAGTGGGGGGAGTATTTTGACAAATAAAGTATTGTAGTTAATAAACCAACTCATATGGATAATCAATTCATATGAGAAACTAATAAATGATGGATTTTTTTTTTTCACGAGATGCAGACTTGTTAGTGGGGACTTATGTAATCAATATTAACTATTTTTAAAAAATATTATTAAAATTCTAAAATTTTCACATCAATCTGATTTGATATTCTGAAATATATCTGCGATTTCCATTTTTTATTTCGAGGCACAAGTGTAAATCAACATTCAGTTAGTCAGCAACTTTACCTGTTTTTTATAAGGAGTTATAACACCGATATGATCCTGTGTGATTTGCATTCCTTTCACACGGTTTCCCACCAATTTTCCCAGATATCCTACGACTTCTTCTATTTCCTGGATATTGAAAAAGCTGAAATTAAACGAAATATTTTATTCCAAATAAGTATAGAACAGTCGCTTTGCTCTCAGTGATATCAAAAATCATAGAGAAAGCCGTGAACCAATATATCCTTGGATATTTAGAAGGCTTTGGAATCTTGAGCGATCATCAATATGACTTTCGGAAACAAAGATCAATAGGCGTAGACGTATTCTAAAAACACTTTATTGTGTGATTTTCATTAGATAGTTTCACAAAAACGCAACACGTGTTTCGCCATACCTACAATGGCTTCCTCGGGCGTGTCTTAATAACTAATTCTACACATTAAATGTTATATATACCTGAATTTTAAGTACCTGAATTTCAAGTACCTGATTTTTTACCTAAGTTTGTAATGAATTTAATTACCTGAACTTATGTTCCATTTTCCACATTTGAAAAAATATTCAGTAACGGAGAGTTATTCAATTCTTATTGATCATTCAGTAAATTACCCGAATTCCTGAATCTATTTATTTCTGAACATTCTAGAAGATTGAGTTTCAAACTCTTCTCTTCTGAATGTAACACATCGTATTCCTGATTGAACTCATGTCCTTCTGCTAATAGGTGGTTTGCAAATGTGGAATTGGTCTTTCTATTCATAAAACGGCTTTTATGCTCTTTAATTCTTTGGTAAAATGTTCTTCCAGTTTGTCCAATATACAGTTTTGGACAAGAGCCACAAGTCAGCTTATATACTCCTGATCTATTCAACAACGAAGTTTTGTCTTTATTGTTTTTAATACATCTACTGAGATTATGTATGTTAGCCAGTTTTGGAATAACGCAATCGAGAAACATGGAGAGTCAAGAGCTGTTGCGCTTGATATTTCAAACACCTTTGTCCGTATGTGACATAAGGGTTTGCTGGCCAAACTTTGATGCTATGGCTTGTCGTATCATTTTTCTGTATGGCTCTTCACCTTCCCGAAAGAACGTTACCTGATAGTTGCCGTCGATGGATATCTCTCGAATTTTTTCACCATCAATACCGTTGTTCCCCAGGGAACCATCTTGTCTCCAAACCTTTGTCTATTGTATATCAACGACTTATTGGAAAACACCAAGACTTCAATATAATACTTTTCTGACGACAGTACCCTTGTCTAGTCATTCCATTTGGATTCTAGACATTGGCTGCCGATGTACATCTTCATTTCAGAAGAATTTCACGAACAAAACAAACTCACTGGAATGGACACTCATTTCTATCAAAACATGGCTGGCAAATGTAAAATTTGCTTCCATATTGAAGAAATTACTACTATACTCTTTCATTCTTTGGAGAAAGTTCTCTCCGTTTGGTAGATATAAAGTTTTGCGCAAAAACCACAAGTCAACTGAAATAATACTGATATATCCAACAAAAAAGTTTTGTATTCCTATAGATTTTGAATCATAAAAAGAAAAGAAGAAGAAGCAAGGCAAACAAAAATATCGCTTTCACTGAAACAACTTCCAATATGGAACAGTGTAATAAACCATTAGCAAATTTTCAAGAAGTGTTCACCAAGAGCTACCCTCTCGATTTTAATTGATAAAAATTAATCTCTTAATGGAAAACAATTTATACGTTAGCAAAATCGTTCAATTTGACCGAAGAGCCATTAACGCAAAAATTCGAATGATACTTCAACATTTTTCTCGTTCGTTTTTAGACTCACTCAATTCATCAGTATAATCAACACTCGACGATCTGATATCGGGTAGAAATTCTGATAATTAGAAGATTTTGAACATGACTGGGTGGCTTAATGAATCGAAAGGCAATTAACTCAAAATTGAAGGAAGGATGAATATTATCGTTGTCGTGCGAATTTCTAACGGATTCGCTCATCTTTGTTATCTTTTCTATGAAGTTTTTTTTCAGTTTAATTTTTTATTCATTGGTCTTCTTGTTTGGGAAACCTCTCAATCAGTTATTTAGTTCAATTCATTTTGTAAATATAAATATTTCCCGCTGTATCGAGCATTAAGTACCTACATGAGACGTTCATGACCTCCTGAAAGGCAAAAATAGCGCTGTTACTGAGATAAATATAGTTTAACAAAATAAAAAAATACGCTCTTGAAGAACATCGAACTGAAAAGTTAGAAACATTTTCTTAAAATGAGCTTGAAGCAATAACGAACGAAATAGTTATTTAGTATACAAGTATACATTTCCCGTGTATAATACACAATTTTTTTCTGTGACGGGAAAAACGACGATTTATTATTGAAAAAAACATAAATAAATACATACATACATACATACATGCATGCATGCATGCATGCATACATACATACATACATACATACATACATACATACATACATACATGTTTGGAGCTGTTCCACAAAAAAAAAAACGAAATTTATGCAACGACATCTGACAATGGATGAAACATGGCTCCATCAATTCACACCAGAATCGAAACGATTGTCATTTGAGTGGAAAGCACGTGGTGAACCGACTCCAAAGCGTGCAAAGACGCAACAGTCGGCTGGCGTGGTTATGTTATCAGTATTTTGAGATACGCGTTTGAAGGACGAAATCGCGTAAAAACGGCGCCTTTTGAAGAAAAAGAAAATGCTGTTTTGTTAGCATAATGCACCGTGTCACGAATCAATGAAAACGATGGCAAAATTGCCTGAATTGGGTTTCGAATTGCTTCCGTATCCACTGTGTTCTCCAGATCTGGTCTCTATCGACTTTTTCTGTTCTCAGACCTCAGAATAATGCTCGTTGGGAAATAATTTGGCGCCGATGAAGAGATAATCGTTGTGGCTATAGACAAATCATTCTATAAAAATAGTATCAGTCTCAGAGAAAATCCTAATTATCGTAACATACTTTATGAATTGTAAAAATTGAAAATCATTACCTAGGAGAATCCTTTTCTCTTTCGTCAACGCCTTCCACATGTTGAAACATCACTGGGAAATTCTCATTTCTCAAATGCTCCCATCCGATGAAACATTTGGTGAAGTCGTCGCCGGCAGCAATCAGTTCGTTGTGGTAGAATAACCTGTTTGGTACGTCCAGAATGATTTTGTGCGACCTGTAATTTTTGATGAGTTTCGTCACGAAACGCGGGTCATATGACTCGTCTGTCCCTCTTGCATATATATCACACGTGTCCAGCAATCTTTCAATCATCGACTTTGCTAAAATACAAATGATTTCAATGAATATTTCGACTGGTTTGTTTGCCGTGATACGCTACTAGTTGAACTTCAAAATTGAGGATCATAATTGGATGAGAGAAATTTTGAAGTGCCTCACGGCTCAATATTGGAACTATTACTGTTTCGAGTAAAGATTCGTGAACTTCTCCTGCATGTGTTAGAAAGGTCCGCAGTTGACATGCCAAAATGCTGAGCAACTTACTATCAAACTAGACAGCAGCATGAGTGATTTCAATACCTGGAAGTTCATCTCAAATATTTCACATTTCCAGCCTTGCTTATCCAAGATAAATAAAGTTGCCTGTGGGAATCACTTGCAGAGCCAAGCCGCCAAAAAATCAATCGCAATATTGAAAGACGATTATATCGAATCATAGTTCAAAAATTGAGTCTTCGTGTTCCACCAGGCAGCGCTTTTTCAACGCACTATAGGTATAATCAGTTGTACGAGGTAACACCACAAATTGGAATCAATTGCCCAAATATAAGTTAACATTTACAAATATTTCAATGTTGCCATCTATGGCATTGACAAAGAGCTAAAACCGTCTAGAGGTTATAAATAGTTTGCTTCCAAAATTATAACCAATCAAGTCATAGGACTATGAATGGTTTCATTTAAACTTCCAGAACACACTTTTCAAATCCCACAGATATTGCAGTATGACTTGGGAAGTAACAACAGATCATAGAATGTATCTGAGAGGGAAGCAACTGGCGAACCTCGTCCAAAGTGCCCATAAGCCCAACAATCGGATAGAAAAGTTATGACCTCGGTATTTTGGCATATGCTTGGTGTAATATTCATTGACTATCTTGAGGAGGGAAGTATCATCAACAATAAGTATTACATAGTGAGTATTGGAGCGTTTGAAGGTCGAAATTGCGAAAAACTACCCATTTAGATAAAAAGGAAGTGCTGCTTTATCAAAACAATGCACAGTGTCACAAATCAATGGAAATAACGGCAAAATTGCATGAAATGGGCTTCGAATTGCTCCCGCGTATACCATATTGCCAGGTTTGGCTCCCATCGACTACTGAATGTTAGCAGACCTTAAAAAAATACTAACTGGTGAGAAATTCCGCTTCGAATGGCTAGGTTATGAATCTGAGGCCTATTTTGAGGCAAAAGATGAATCGTTCTACAAAAGGGGTATTGGAAATGTTAGAACGGAACTGAAATGATTGTGTGGCTCTTGATGAAGATTACGTTGACGAATGAAGCCAATTTCAAATGAAATAAAATATGTTTTCTTTCTTAGCCCGCGTTATATACTCCTGATCTGTCTGCTGTAGGACCCTTTCTACAGTTCACGAGAGGGATGAAAAGGGAACTTCTGAAGTTCAGGAAAAGTAGGGTATGTGAACAAAAACGGTGAGAAATTGTGAAGCAAAAACATTCAATTTCAATTTTGAACATTGTTCGTATATGTTTTAAAGTGAATCACTCTGTATGTAGCTGTAGCTACAAATGAACAAGACAAGGGTCGTGTTCCAATTCCAAGTGACAGTTCACTGAACTTAAGGCTTCGACTGAGCATATAATAAATCGTTTCACTGTTCTTGATTGAAAGTAACGTCAAATTGCGTAAGGACCAATTAATAATAGCCGATCCGATCCTTCAGATCAAGGACTTCCATGAAGTTGAGATTCGAGGAAATAATTAAAGAAACCATTCCGTGATATCATTTTGGGTTCTAATCGGTAGCAATATGAAAATTTGGAAAGAGTTATCTCTGGTCTGAACTTGTTCAACTCCGAAGTAATAAAGATCATGGGAGTAGGAATTGCTATTAGATTATCCTTCCATTGAATAGTAAAGTTGACTTGATTAATATCTCTTTGAAGGCCCATTCGATGAGTTGAGAACCTACCCTCTTGCGGTTTTCCATTATGGGTGAATTTTTGACAATGTCTTCTCCAAAGTGATGATTTTGGAAAATATTTCGAAATGTTCTAATGCAGGGGTCTCCAAACTTTGAAGCCTTCGGGCCATAATGATTTTTTCAGTTCGTTCCAAGGGTCAATTTCTGCCCCCAACTATATTTCTAGACTAGGATAGTCACAAAGTGCGTGACCTAAACAAACTTCCGCTTTTTTGCATTTCAATTATTATTGTGTATTGTGACACTTAACGACATCTAGTGGCGAGTAGTGGTACTATGTACTATCTTTTTCAGCTACCCGCTAGGTGGCATTAGGCGTAATTAAATATTTGGAATTACCGCGTTGGTTCGAGAAAGTTCTGGTTCTAGCTAGTGTATTCCGATCACCTCGAGATGGCAGTAATAATTGCATATAAAAAGGCTAGCGGCGCAACTGCGAGTTAGTCTGCGTAGGAAAG